TGGGAAGGGGGAGGCAAAAGGAGAAAGTCATAGGAGAGTGGGGATGGGAGGGAAGGGTGAGGAAAGGGGAGAGGGGTGGAGTGGAGGGTGAGGAAAACTACTCGTCTCTCCTGTCATTGTCGTCGTCATCGTCATCGCCACCACCATTATCGTGGTAGTTATCATGACCCTCACCATAACCAAAATCCTCAATAACATTGTCATCAGAAACGTCATCCTTACCGTCGTCAACAGCCGTATCTTCCAGAACCGCCATCGTGGTCATGCTCGCCGACACCACCAACGCCATCAACTGTGTCGCCGCCAGTAAAATAAATACCACCATCGTCAACAACATCGTAAACATCAACATCATCACCGTCATCGGCATCAGCATCATCATCAGCCGCATCAGCATCGTCCTCATCAGCAGAATCAGCATCAACATCAGTAGTATCACCATCATCATCATCATCATCATCATCAGCATCATCAGCAGCATCAGCATCAGCAACAGCATCATCAGCATCAGCATCAACAGCATCGTCAGTAGCAGCATCGTCATCAGCAGCAGCATCATCATCCTCGTCATCCTCAGCATCATCAGCAGCAGCAGCAGCCACAGCATCACCATAATCGCCAACAACAACCACAACACCACCAACACCAGTATCATCATCAGCAACATCATCCTCATCATCGTCATCATCATCATCATCATCAGAATCGTCATCGTCATCAACAGCATCATCAGCATCCTCAGCAACATCAGCCTCATCATCATAATCATCATACGCATCAGCATCGCATTCAGCATCATCAGCATCAGCATCAGAATCATCATCATCCGCATCAGCATCATCATCAACATCATCATCGTCAGCATCGTATTCATTGTCATCATCATCAGCGGCAGCATCACCAGCATCATCATCGTCATCGTCATCATCATACTCGTCATAATCAGCGGCATCAGCACAGTCAGCAGCATCATCGTCATCATCAGCAGCATCATAAGCTTGATCACAATCATCATCTTCATCATCATCATCATCACCATCATCAGCATCATCTTCATCATCATCAACAGCATCAGCATCGTCAGCAGCATGATCATCAACATCGTCATCATCATCATCGTTATCATAATCAGCATCAGCATCCTGGAAATCATCATCATCGTCATCATCAGAATCCGCATCATCGTTATCATCATAATTGACATCAGCATCATCGTCATCATCATCAGCAGCAGCCTCGTCGTCGTCATTCGTCACATCAGCATCATCAGCATCATCGTCATCAGCAGCACCCGCTTCATCTGCATCAGTATCGTCATCGTCACATGAATAAATAACTCCGCCAGCAGCAGGGGTGTGCGAAGGGATTCCTCTGGGGAGGCTCGCTCCCCCTGCCTGTGGCCACCTCGGGCCTCCCGCTTCGGTTGCTCAACGAACATGCGATACGGATGGGCTTCCAACAATTTCTGGTACCTCACAGTATCCAGACACCCGAGTCCGCACGCATGCTGGCGCTGGCTTATAACACACAACGCGTCTCCCCTCCGTGGGTACGCCAGCCCAATGAAAATACAGCCATGCCAAAATGATACCCACATGGACCCTGTCAAGGCCGTAGGGAAGGAGGATGAGGTGCGCAAAAAATTACAAGCATGATCGAAGTCTGAGCCTGGATGACCACTCGCTTAAATTCAGAGGAATGAGTACCATTCATACCAAGAAAATTGACCGTTAATCATTCACATGAGGAGAATGGCCCAACATGAAGTTAAACAAATAAGATGGACAAAGGTCCTCGGCTGGAGTCGAAGGCATGAACACGGTGTTGGTCCGCGAGTTGGCACCTGCGGATGTAAGAACTCACACATGCGGAACGAAGGTGGCGCGCACACACCCACCAGCGCTTTAGGGCGTGAGTGGCTAAGCGAGTGTCTTATTCCAACCCGGTCCAACCCCCTTTCTTCAACTTCGGGGAAGGGTTCATCACTGTTTCCTATTAATAAACACCCCTCCCCCAAGCGACTGGCAGCCCACCCAGACCAATGAGCCCCCCCCGAATCCGGTGAAAAAACAATACAAGTTCACTTTGCCTCCCAAATCTGGCGCATGCGCGGGCGGAGAATGCGCAGGGCCATCTGTTCTCAAAGCTCTCATCTGTTTCACGACTCCTCTAGATGTTACAATTTGTCCATCGGTGCCGATTCTGTGCACTCCATGGAAGAGCCGCCCTTCTCACAGAATGCTCGGCACTTCGCTTCAGGGGGGATTCAAGATCCTGAACTCCTTGCGGCCAGGGCCCCAGGCACCTGGGGTCCCTATGGGTCCCCGTAGCCGGCGCACCTGGCACGGCTGGAGCACGTGGCACAATTGGCGCACGTGGAGATGTGCCGCACCTGGCACGGTTCGGCTTCCAGGAACCCGTGGCGCGCATGGCATGTGTGGCGTTCCCAAGGGATATGCTGACCCTCGTGTGTTACGTATGTGTTAGGAGGGCGGGTGGGACTGAGCTAGACGGCCTGCTATCCAGAAGGGTATCTTGACCCCTCCCCCTACCCCCTACCCCTGGGTTCGGAGGGGGGGGGTCGCGAGACGTTGAAGCGTCCAAGATGGTCTCGGCGAGAAAGCCAAAATCAATGGTTTGTTGTACGGAGGTGTTGGCCACATGTTGGCCTCCTGGGGGGGAGGGGGGGCTGATGGGGGAGCTCCCCTCCTTTGATCGATCTCCCCCAAGATGGCCGCAAGATGGCCCCCAAGGCTCCCAAGGGTTCCCAAGGATGGCCTCATGAGGAGCCCAAGAGGCTCCCAAGAGACCCCCTAAGACGCCCCAAGAGGCCCCCCCAGAGGCACCCAAGACACCCCAAGAGGCCTCGACGAGAAGGCCCAAATCATTCATTTTAAAGAAGTGTTGGCCACAAATTGGCCTCGTGGACGGAGGACCCTAATTGAGGAGCCCCCCCGTTTTATCGTTCTGCTCCAGGATGGCCCCACGATTGTCCCAAAGGCTCCCAGGGGTGCACCAAGGCGGCCCCAGGGTGTGCCCTGGAGGCCCCAAGAGGCTCCCAAGAGGCGCCCAAGGGGACCCCGGGAGGGCCCCGAAAGACCCCAAGAGGCCCCAAGAGGTCCCCCTGAGGCACCCAAGACGCCCCAAAAGGCCCCAGAGAAAAGCCAGAAATGGGAGGGGGGGGAGGAGACCCTAAGTAAGGAGACCCCCAAGATGGCCCCCGGGGCTCCCAAGGGTGCCCCAAGACGGCCCCAAGACGGCCCCAAGAGGTGCACAGGACACCCCAAGACGGCTCCCACGATGCCCCCAAGATGGCCCCAAGGGGCTCCCAAGAGACCCCCAAGAGGTTCCAAGAGGCCACCCAGAGGCACCCAAGACGCCTCAAGAGGCCTGCGGGACTGCCAAGAGACCCCCAGGACGTCCCAAGAGGACTCCAAGAGACTCTCGAAAGGAATCCGAAGAGACTCCGAGAGGCATCCAAAAGGTCTCTGGCCTTTCTGCTCGCCCTCCTCCTCCTCCTCCCTCCTCACCCTCTCCTTCCTCCTCCTCCTCCTCCTCCTCCTCCTCCTCCCTCCTCCTCCTCCCTCCCTCCTCCTCCTCCTCCTCCTCCTCCTCCTCGTCCTCCCCCCTCCTCCTCCTCCTCTCCTCCTCCTCCTCCTCCTCCTCCTCCTCCTTCCTCCTCCCCCTCCTCCTCCAATTCCTCCTCCCTCCTCCTCCTCCTCCTCCTCCTCCTCCTCCTCCTCCTCCCCTCCTCCTCCCTCCTCCTCCTCCTCCTCCTCCTCCTCCTCTCTTCCGACTCCTCCTCCTCCTCCTCCTCCTCCTCCTCCTCCTCCTCCTCCTCCTCCTCCTCCTCCTGCTCGTCTTCCGACTCCTCCTGTATCCTCCCCTCTTGGGGAGCGACGTCTTACCCAGCCCTTTACTCCACCGCATTATCCTCCACATCCCTGATGTGAGGGCAATGCGTCTGGGCGAAGCATCTAGAATATCATCACTGACACAAGTCGGGTCATAAGAAGGTTGGAGGGCACATACCCTGAATGTCGCTGTGCATATCGGTGTGCGGATCGGTTACTCACGTATGTACGTGTCTGAGTTGCTGTTCGATCCGTGCTCCGGTTGCAACTAGATTTGCAGATCGATTCGCATACCGCTATGCAGTTCGATGGGTGTGTCCACTTGCACTTCGGCTTGCATGTCGGTCGCGAATTCCGATCTGCACTCCGAAGTCCAGATCGGTGTGCCTGTAGAGCTAGATGGATGTCGATTGAACTCGGGTGTGCGGTTCGACTGCAAGTATGTAGCGTTTCGATGAGCAGTTCAACTGCAACTGGAATCGCCGTTCGATGCGCAGTTTGACGAGCGCTCCGATGCGCCCTGCATAATTCAATGTAATGCCCGGGGCAGCCACGGGACAACCTGCGGGACGACCACGAACCAACCCATGGGACAACCGATGGACAACCAGCGGGACAACCACGGAACAACCAACGGAACAGCCCACGCAACAATCACGGGGCCACCCACGGGACAGCCACGGGACAACCGGCGGGGCAACCCACAGGACAGCCTGGACCCCCACGGAACAACCACGGGGCATTCCACGGGTCACATCCCACGAGACAACACACGAGACAATCACAGGACAACCCAGCGGACAACCCGCTCCACGGGAACCCCATGACTGCCCCACAGGAGCCCTGGACAGCCTAAGACAGCCATAATAAGCTTCCTGCGGCGCGCCAATGGGTTGCAATCCGCGGATCAAGATGGACTAAGACGGGTCGAAACGCAAACACACACACACACAACTACACACAACTACACACAACTACACACACAAACAAACAAACAAACAAAAAAACTGAAAGGTCCTTCCCCCCCTGCCAGCCAAAGGAGATCGAAAAAAACGCGCCCTGCTTCCAGTCGCACATCGGCCAGCCTCCGAGCCATCGCGGGCCAGAGCTGCACACGGGCGCCCGGGGCACGGCCTGCCGCGGGCGTCACTGGCAGCGCTCCTGCTCCTCGTCGCTGTCCTGCGACCAGGCCTCCCAGGTCTCCCGGGCCAGCAGGGCCCACTCCGACCTGGTCAGGCCCAGGTCCTCGCAGATCCGCTCCTGGGCCGCCGCGAACGCCCGGGCCTGCGCCTGCTCCGCGGCCGTGGGCTCCACGGCGTGGTTCCACCGCCCGCCGCGCAGCGCCTGCCTGGTGCGGTCGAGCACGGGGCGCGCGTACAGCTCCGCCGCCCGGATGAGCGACACCTCGAAGGGCCTGAGCGACGGGTTGTGCGCGACGGACGGCACCCAGACGCCGTGCGAGCCGAACGGCGTGATCAGCGCCACCCTGTCCGGCCCCAGCGTCCCCAGCGACCCCACGCCCCGGCGGTCCAGCTCGCCCAGGACCCTCTGGAGCTCGAGCGGGCCAGCCCTCCCGACGTGGGTCACATACAGGCCGACCAGCAGCGGCAGGAAGTGGAAGACGCTGTAGCCGCAAACCTGGTTGTAAATCGTGAAGTGCGGCGGCACGTGCGTGTCCTGATGGTACGACGTGACATAGTGCTGGAACTTCCAGATTCGCCGACCCATTGGGGTGCTGGCGTGGGGGGTGGATGCCCTTCTTTTTCCGGCGGGGAGGAGCGGCAAGCATCGAATCGCGAAACTGGGTAGGATCGGATCGGATGGGTCAAATCGGGCCGCATAAAACGACTCAGTAAGTACCAGCAGGCCCCAAGTGAAGCCATAGACGCCCCAAATCCACAAAACCTGGTCTGCTTGCTGTTTCACCTCACAAGCGAATCGGCCCAACATGGCCTCTGGAGTCCTCTAAAAGACCCCACCACGACGGCCCAAGAGTACCCCAAGACAGCTCAGGAGCCCCGAGACGGCCCGAAGAGGATTCCAAGACAGACCAAGCCTCGAGCACCCCAAGAGTACCCCAAGCGAGCCCTCGAACAGTCCCCGACAAACCCAACAGTGCCTACGGACTCATTGCAATCCATTCTCCCCGTGCCCCGCTCACTCCTCCGATTCCTCCGTTTTCTCCTGCTCCTCATTTCTGCTTTGCGCGGACTTGGATGAACCAGCATCGCAGCGTCTGCGCGGCAAACTGGAAGGATGATAAAATGATACCAGAGAAAAATTATCCCAGTGCGACCCTACCTAGGAGTTGGAGCATTTAGGAAAGCAACATCTACATCTACACCGACAGCTACATTTACATATACACCTGCATCTACATATAAATCAACATCAACAGCGAGACTCACATATACATGTACACCTACACCTATGCTATGCTATGATATGATATGTTATGATATGCTATGATATGATATGCATCTACACACATACATGTTATGATATGATATGATATGCTGAGCTGTGCCACGCTATGCTATAATATGATATGATTGGCTATGATATGATATACGATGCTATGATAATGCTGCGCTGCGCTATGCTGCGCTGCGCTAAGCTAAGCTAAGGTAATATAAGCTAAGCTATGATAAGCTAAGCTAAACTAAGCCAAGTTAGGCTAGGCTAAGCTAAGCTAAGCTAAGCTAAGCTAAGCTAAGCTAAGCTAAGTTAAGTTAAGCCCAGCTAAGTTAAGCTAAGCTAAGATGGGATATGCTAAGATAACTTAAGCTACGCTAAGCTAAGGTAAGCTAAGCTAAGCTAAGCTAGGCTAGGCGAAGCTAAGCTAAGCTAGGCTAAGCTAAGCTAAGACGAGATAAGCTAAGCTAAGCTTAGTTTAGCTAAGCTTAGCTAAACTGGGTGAACCCAGGGGACGTAACTGGGGGAACCGCGGGGCGGATGCCGGGGGAACCGCCCGGGGCGTGGTCCACTGCCCGGCCCTTTAAGCTTATACAGTAAGAACCCTTCTAGGCAGAGCCTAGGTAGGGGAAAAAAAACAATCAGATTTGTTTTAGGGCTATTGGGCTATAGGGCTATACGGCTATAAGGCTATAGGGCTATTGGGCTATAGGACTATAGGGCTATAGGGCTACAGGACTATATGGACTATAGGGCTATTGGGCTATCGGGCTATAGGGCTATAAGGCTATAGGGCTACAGGGCTATAGGGCTACAGGGCTTTAAGACTCCAGGGCTACAGTGCTGTTGGGCTATAGGGTTATAGGGCTATAGGGCAATAGGGCTATAGGGCTATTGGGCTAAAGGCTATAGGGCTATAGGGCAATAGGGCTATAAGGCTATTGGGCTATAGGGCTATATGGCTATAGGGCTATAGGGCTATAGGGCCATAGGGCTATAGGGCGATAGAGCACCCGGGCACCTGGGCACCCGGGCAACCCCGGGCACCCCCGGGCACCCCTGGGCACCTCTGGGCACCCCCGGGCACCCGGGCACCTGGGCACACCCGGGCCCCCGGGCACCCGGGCACCCGGGCACCCGGGCCGGCCACCGAAATCGGCGGCCCACCTCACCTAACAAAATGAATCCGCTAGGACCCCTACAGAGGCAAGCGCTGATTGGTGAAGTCGACTTGGGCGCCGTGGCCTCTGTGCAAACTGCATTTTAGATAGGTGCGAAGAAGCAAGAAGAGTGGCCCGCAATGGCACAGAGTGGACGGCCCAAGACGAGACGAAATGAGTGTGAGGCCCCAGACAGACTTGGAGGCCCAAGAGACCAAGTAAAACAACACATAACCGTAACGATTGAAGAAAAATGCATGAGGAGGTGAGCGAAATTGGGGGCTGGCTTAGACGTGTGGCAGCGCGTACGGGGTGAAAATCAAAAGGAAGGAAGGCATAGGGGGATACCAAGGCACAGTAGTTAAGGATGATGGGCAAGGCGGGGCGGTGGGTTCGGATGTATGTGGGCCCCGGGGGGGGCCCGAATGTAGCCATATTCACCGCCTGCCGAAGTCCAGGAAGACGGGTTCCCCGGGTGGTGGATGTGTAGGAATCCCGCCTCGGCCGCCGCGGTCTCGACCCCCTCGGCCCCGAGCGGGAGGCTGGCGCCGACTCCTCGTGGGAGTCAGCGTCACGCTGGCGAGGGGACGGTCAGAGATTGTGGCGATTGTGGACAAGCGCGTTCCACTACTCGCAAAGTAACTACTCGCAAATGGCCTGATCCGCCACGGGGGTTTACGATGCACTACGTCGATGTAGACACGTGCTTTTCGGACGTTTGCCGAGTAGGGACTTTGCGAATAGCGGAACGCGCTCGGTGAGATTGTGCGGGAGCGGCAAGGCAGCCGTCGTTCATTCACGGTCTGGGCTTCGATGCCGTGCGGCACGGAGATCTCTCGGGGGCTCTGCCTTACGTCTGGCAGGGGCTCCATTCCCCTGTTTCCGCTTGCAAAGATGTCTGGGCTTTGGCCCTTTGTAGTGGTGTCAGCTGCACAAAATGCCCACGGATTGGCGGTGCCATGTGGCACGGAAGTCCCGTGGAGGTTCCTACACCTGGGCGGGGATCCTCGGGTTAGAGCAATGCTCACCAAGTGCCTGGGTGGACCCCGTTTGCGCGTTGCCCGTCGGTTGTTTCCCCCGCTGGCCCTGCTGCTCATTTGAGCACGCGGCTGGAAACCGCAAGCATGTGAACCACGCCAGCGCACTCCCCGCCGGGTCGGGTGAACCATCGCTGCTTGGGGGCTGCCGTCGGGGCAGCGAGTCACTGGCGACTTGCCCCCGCTGTACCCGACGCGGTTGCCACACACGTAGACAATGTCGACAGCATTATATCCCTGCATTACGTCCTCCTCACCCCGCTTCACCCCTCCTCGTCCTCCGCCTCCTCCTCCTCCTTCTCCTCCTCCTCACCATCATCAGATTCCCCATCCTTCTCCTCCGCCTGCTCCTCGTCGTGAACCTCACTCAACGCCTGCAGAAGCCAACCGCCTTCTCAAGAATATCGACGGGTCGGCGGATGGAACGTCGGCCAAATGAATTAGATACAACCGTCGATTCAAGCTCACAGCGTCGCAGTCACGAAGCGACGAATCCACCTGCCTATGGAAGTCGTCGATCAAATCTACGCCACTCCCGCCTGCGCCGAATCCGAAGTCCCAGGTGGTGTTCAAAGAGCCCTGGCCATCCAGGGGCTGCAGCTCATCTGGCCGCAGGGAGTGCACCTGCTCCTGGTCGAAACAGTTGTGGGCGCACACTTTGTACACGGATAGAAGCCCGTCGTCTCTGGTGGACATCCGCTTCACCATCGGCAGCAGCCCAGCGAAGCTAGGAAAACGCAAAAAAACACGCGCGAACATCGACTGTCGGAGGTCCACGCGGATTGCTTGGGCCTGGCACTGGACCCCCCTGGCGACGCCTCCGACGCCGCCCCTGGCGCGCCCCGCGCGCCAGGCAAGGGGAAGTCGTCCGGCCCCAGCCCACGAAATCTCCTGGGGCAACTCGCGGGAGTCTCCCGCACCATCCTGTTGACTTTTGCGACATCGGCGCTGCACCAACACGCATCGGCACTCAGTCAACGCCGACCGACGCTGCATCGGCGCTACCTCCACGATTTCCATACTACGCTAGTCGACGCTAGCAACGAGGGTATATACAAGGCTCCTGCGGTTTGCCACTGGAAAGACACGCGCGGACCCCCGAACGTGCATGGTCGTGCCGCTTCTTGCTCTTCCGGCAGTCCACGTCTCTGGAGGTGGAGATCTCGCGAGCGAAGGAGCCGTGCAGGATGCAGCCCGGGAGCCCGTCGGGGCCAGTGTGCCCCAGCTCCTCCGCCCGCGCCAGCACGTCTTCAAGCGACCGCCCCTCGAACCAGAGGTGCAGCACGTAGCTCGCAAACTCCATCGTCTCCATCCACCGCCCCGCGACATCCTCCCTCGGCACCGTGGCCATCCTCGGGCCGGGCGGCAGGGGAAGGTAATATCAGAATGAGGGGGCCGAACGGTCATTCATTGCCCCTGGGCACGTGGCTGAAGCGGGGTTCCGTGGTGCGGAGTTTTGTTGTTGTGTTGTTGTAGATGCTGGGATAGGAGCGAACAGTCTAAAAATGGATGTTGTTGTTGTGTGTGTTTGTTGTTGTTGCTGCTGCTTCTGCTACTGCTGCTGTCGATGTTGTTGGTGGTGGCGTTGCTGTTGCTGTTGTTGGTGGTGTTGGTGTTGTTGGTGTCGTTGTTGTTGCTGTTGTTGGTGCTGCTGTTGGTGTGGTCGTTGGTGTGTTTATCAAGTTTGTTGTTGCTGTTGTTGCGTTTGTACAGAAATCGCGCTCTTGCCTGGGACTTCCTCGCAATGTATTTAGACGCCGCGCCCTCGACACTCAGGAATCACGCTATCGCTTTGAATGTCCTAACGATTTATTTGGGAATCGCGCTACCGCTCAAGACTTCCTCGCGATTCATGCAGGACGCACGCTTCAGCAACCCGCCTGCTCGACCTGACCGCCTGGGCCCACCTTCCCGACCTGCCCGTCAGGATCAACCCGCCCGATCTGCCCGTCTGGTTCTGCCACGTGCTTTCTGCTCCTAGCCGCCCTCCTGGTACTCTTACTCGTGCTCCATCCTCCTCCCTCACCCTTGTCCCTTCCGTCCATCCGTCCTCTTTTCGCCTGCCTTAGGGGCTGCACGAAATACACGTTGCAGAAAAAAAGATGTGCCCCTGAGGGGGCACTATCGAAGACGAAGAGGGCGGGTGTCGAGGGTTTGGGATATACATGTTGAATGGCACGCAAGCAGATGAGAGCGACAAGTCTTAAAATGATTGTTGTGATTGCTGCTGCTGTTGATAGTGTTGGTGGTGTTGTTGGTGTTGTTGGTGATGGTGGTGTTGCTGTTCTTGTTGTTGGTATTGTGGTGTGGTTGTTGTTGTCGTTGCCGTTGTCGTTGCGATTGTGTTGTTGGTGGTGGTGTTGCTGTTATTACTGTTGTTGTTGGTGCTGCTGTTTCTGCTTATGTTATTGTTGTTGCTGGTGGTAGTGCTCTTGTTGTTGGTGGTGGTGTTGGTGTTGGTGTTGTTATTGTTGTTGTGGTTGTGCTCGTTGTTGTTGTCGTTGTCGCTGTCGTTGTCGTTGCTGTTCATGGTGGTGGTGCTCTTGCTGGTGTTGTTGTCGTTGGTATTGTTGTTGTTGCTGCTGCTACTGTTGTTTTTTTTGGTGTTGATGGCGTCGTCCTCGCCCGCGACCCGCCCGCGACCCAAGCCGCGATCCACCCCGCGGCCCACCCCGCGACCCACCTGGTGACCCAACCTCGACCCCCAGCGACCTCCCCCCCCCCTTGCTGTGACGACGAAGTTGGCGCCTGCGGTGGGCTCGTTGCATGATTCAAGACACAAATCGGCGCCCGCGGCCTGGGGGAGTGACCCAGACGGGGGGCGAAGATAAAGTCCCCAAAGAGGCCCTTTAGGGCCCCTTTTGGACAACTTCTGGCTCCAAAAGAGGCGCCCACTTAGGGCACTTTTCTTCACCCCAAATTTGGGTCACCCCCCATTACTCGGGTGCATGCAAACATGGATTAACCATCCATGGATCCATGGATTTGGGGCGCGGTCGCCAGATCCATGAATCGGGGGAGGTACCATCCCCAAAATGCGGCCGGTGCCGCATCCTTCGGCGGCGGAAATCCTCGATGTCCCATGGAAGCGAGACCCGCCGCGACTCCACGCCCCCTTGATCCATGTTTGCGATCGCCTGAATTACCGCCCGCCCGATACCCGCAACTGCGGGGCGCTGCGGTGTACAACGGGGGGGGGGCGGCGCTACCAGCACACGCCGCTGGCGCCCCAGGCCAGCTCCCGGCGACCGATGCTATACCGAGTAGGGCGCCCGGCGGCGGGGCCGCTGACGGCTGCGCACAGCGCATCCAATTGTAACACTCCCCCCTTTCCGCCCCCCTCCCCCTGTTCGTCCGCCTCCTCCACCGCCTCCTCCTCCGCCTCCTCCTCCTCCTGCTCCTCCTCACGAGTGATCCTCGTCGTCTGGCTTCCAGATCATCACTCGGCTCTCCGTTCGGGACGTTTCGGGCACCCCTAGCACGCCCTCGGCGAGGCGCAGCCGCCAGGGAGCACTCCGGGGATGGAGGACCGCCCCGCTGCAAAAACCCCGGAACCCAGCCCCCGAGAGGTCCCTTCCCTGTCCGCCCACTCTTTCGGCAATTGAATGATGGGGCCATTAGAGGGCAAAAAATCCACCCCCATAATTATTCACTGCGTGGAGCTCCCCATATGTGCATCTACTCGCATGGACCTGTCCGCCGTGAATGTCTAGGCGCAAGAGCTTTCGAATATTAACGGGCTTCAGTTGTGACGGTCTGGACATCAATCTAACTGCGAATGAATTGGAGTGTGAATGAGCCTCAGTAGTACGAGCGCGTCTCTGTGCATGAGCCTGGGGCCTCCTGGGGCCTCCTGAAACCTACTGGGGCTTCCTGGGGTCTCCAGGAGCCTCTTGGGACCTCCTGGGACCTCCTAGGAAGGTTTCGTGCCCCAGGAGAGGCGCAATCTATAGCAACAGACGTACATAAAACATTGCGGATTAGAGCCACAGGAGAAGGGCAATCTATAGGAACACGCGTAAAACACCAAGGACTCGTGCCCCAGGAGAGGCCCAATATATAGGAACATGAGTAAAACATTTAGGATTGTGTACACAGGAGAAGGACCATCTATAGAAACATACGTAGAACATCAAAGAATCGTGCTCCAGGTAAGGCCCAATCGATAGGAGCATACGTAAAACACATGGGATTGGAGCCACTCCTGTTGCCTTCTGAGGCCTCCTGCTCCTGGGGCCTCTCGGGGCCTCCTGTTGCCTTCCGAGGCCTCCTGGCGCTTCCTGTTGCCTCCTGGGGCCTCCTGTGGTTTCCTGAGGCCTTCTGGAGCTTCCTGGGGCCTCCTGGAGCCTCTTGGGACATCCTGTGGCCTCTTGAGTTTTTTCTGTGGCCTCCTGATGCCTCCTGGGACCTCATGTGGTCTCCTGGGGCCTCCTGGAGCCTGTTGGAGCCTCCTGTGGCATCCTGAGAAGAATCTGCGCCCACGAGCCTGGCCACCAAAACAAGCAAACCGATCGACATCGAGACATCCTCAAAATCTGGCCCACCTGGGGGGTGAAAATGAGCGCCTCGCTCGAGACATCCTCCAAATCTGCTCCGAAAGCGAAGGATGTTGAGCCCAGAAACAAGCAAACCGCCTGAGACATCCCCACAAAATGGCCGCGAACGAGCCCGTGCAACCACCCCTGGCGGCTCCCCTTAGGGCCACGAGCCTGGCCACGAAAACAAGCAAACCGATCGAGACATCCTCAAAATCTAGCCCACCTGGGGGGTGAAAATGAGCGCCTCGCTCGAGACATCCTCCAAATCTGCTCCGAAAGCGAAGGATGTTGGGCCCAGAAACAAGCAAACCGCCTGAGACATCCCCACAAAATGGCCGCGAACGAGCCCGTGCAACCACCCCTGGCGGCTCCCCTTAGGGGTGCTGAAACCAGCGCCCCGCCTGAGACATCCTCACAATCTGCTCTCCAAGCGAAGGATGTTGGGCCCAGAAACAAGCAAACCGCCTGAGACATCCCCACAAAATGGCCGCGAACGAGCCCGTGCAAACACCCCTGGCGGCTCCCCTTAGGGGTGCTGAAACCAGCGCCCCGCCTGAGACATCCTCACAATCTGCTCTCCAAGCGAAGTCTGAGTATGACTAATACTGTGTATGAGTAAGTCTGGGTATGAGTGAGTCTGTGTATGAGTACGTCTGGGTGTGAGTAAGTCTGTGTATGAGTAAGTCTGTGTATGAGTATGTCTGAGTGTGAGTAAGTCTGAGTATGAGTAGGTCTGAGTATGAGTAAGTCTGAGTATGAGTAAGTCTGTGTATTAGTAAGTCTGAGTATGAGCAAGTCTGAGTATGAGTAAGTCCAACAGGAGGGGAGGAGGAAAGAGGAGGAGGAAGGAGGAGAGGGAGTAGGAGGCGTCCAAGTAATAACAAGAAACCCATCTTAGGATATGGGGAATACCCACCCCGACACACAAAGCCGCTTACTAAACGCCCCCACACTGAAGGAATCGAATAGGGCAGGGCTGTTTAGTAAACGCCCAAGGCCGTTTAGTAAACGCCAATTGTCCGGTCCGGGTGGTTCTCCTTTTTTCCTCCCTTGAATCGAGGAGGGGGCCCTGAGGATAGGAAAAAGACCCCAAGCTGAACCTTCACTGCACGAGGTCACTCATCTTCCCCGGATCTCAGACGTCGTGACTGCTCAAAACGCAGGACCCAAAAAAATTCTAGACCCCTTCTCCGGGATCGGGTTTTCATCCCGGGTCGTGTTTGTGGACGGGCCCAAGAAGCCCAGGCATGGCAAAAGGCCTCCCGTCTTGGCTTGCTGTTCAACGCGAGAGGAGGTGGGGGTCACGGGGCCTGGTCCCGCAGGGCCCCATCTCTGAACCGCCGACCTTCCGCCCTACCCTTAGGTCGGGCATGTCATCCTACAGGTAGATTTGGGAGGACAATAAGAAATAGTCCTAAGATATTGCAAAATTCTCTCTCTCTCTCTCTCTCTCTCTCTCTCTCTCACACACAGACACACACACACACAAAGAAAGGCGACAACAACAACAAAGACGAAAAATCGTCCCCTGACTAGTTTTCGACTATTTTTACATACTCCTCCTGTAGAGGGCATGCCCGACTTCACCCTGCCCCCGACGTCCGCAGGCGGGCGTGGCGCGCGGAGAGGCGCGAGCGGCTGGCCGGCTGCACGCGGGAGCGGCCCCGGGCAGGGAGTGACCTCCGGGTGTGCGCGGCTCTCTCCGGGGGGCCGCAGAGGGGCCAAGGGCCCCAGCGCGCAGGACAGCGCTGGATGGACCCCCCCCAAAGGTCGGCGGCGAGCGGGGGGGGCGGGGTGAGGAGAAGGCCATCCCAGAAGTCGGCGGCACTTCTCAGAGGCCCTCGCGCCCTCTGAAGAGCTGCCGTCTGTCTCCGGGGAAGCTTTCTCAGAAGGCCGGCAGACTTTCGAGCCGTCTGAGAAGGCCTTCCCTTCTGACTTCCCCCCATCGCTGGCCTCCGGCTAGAAGGAGGGCTCTCCTGGCCTGGCAAGGGAGGCATCCGCGTCGAGCCTGGGCCAGGATGAGCCTGGCCAGGATCGGTGTGTGTGTGTGTGTGCATAAGTCTCTTCTCCCGATTGTGGGCCCGCGCGAGAAAAGGCCGGCCGGCCCATTGCGGACCCGCGCCAAAGGCAGGCCTGAGCTGGATCGCATCGCGACATCGGAAGCGAAGCGGATCGCCAGCAGAGCGTCGCGAGTCCAGTCCAGCTCGGATCGCCGCGCCCGGCTGCAGCCCCGGCCGATGCCAGCAGACCGAAGCGAGCCGAACCGAATCGGCACCGCTGCCCCGAGCTGGCGAATCGGATCGCAGCGGATCGGATCGCAGGCGGCCCTGCGATGTCACTCGCGGGCCCGCACCAATCCAAGACATCCGACGCTGTTTTCTGCTCACGGCGTGGCTCCCCCGAGACCTGGACCCCTTTCCTGGGACCAGCGTCTCATCCCGAGCCGGGGATCTGCTGACCCGGGTCAATCCAGACCCGGGTCAGTTGGGCCTTCCAGGATCCTGCAAGATCCTGCACCCAAACCCGGGTCAGAACGAAAGATCCCGCAAGATCCTCCAGGATCCTGCACCCAAGCCTGGGTCAGTGCGACCCTGCCCCTGCAGGATCCTGCAAGGTCGGACGCTCTGGCTGACCCCCGTCTGCATTGGCTCCCGTCTCAAGGCTCCCGACCAGAGACCTGGACCCCTTCCCCGGGACCAGCGTTCCATCCTGAACTGATTTCTGACGGCCCCGGGGCCCGCCGAGGGCCCACGGAGGCCGAAAAGTGTCCAGAACCGTCCGTCGCTTGTCTTCCGCGACGCGAGGATGTCGGGGAAGGTCTGAGGCGCAACGATCGGGGGGACCAACTCAGGGGGGAAACATCGAGCTGGAATCGGCGGTACATCGCCGATAGATCGACGATAGGACCCCGATAGGACCCCGAGGGCGGATTCGCACGTTCTTGGGCGGGGTGGGCTGTCGGGCACTTATCGGCGATAAATGGGCGATTGGGGGTCAATGCATTCCCTCCTGAGCCTATCCTAGGACGCACACGGACATACCAGTCCTAGTTTATCCTCCTTGCAGGCGTGCGTCCGACCTGAACACGTAATGCAAAAATATTGCAGTATATCGTCTCCCGAGCGGCATGGCCAGAAAGCGCCTGCCACGAAGCAGATGATATAAGATTTCTCGGCGCGCGCGTCGCCCCTTTGAGGGCGACACGCGCACACTCACACACACACACACACACACACACACACACACACAAACACACACACACACGTATATATATATATATATACACACACCAGATATATAATATGTAGGAATGACGCCGGCATTGGGGAAATCACCAGGTGTACCCATACTGCTACTCCTCGGACCTCTCTCAGGGTGCGTTCTGACCACGATTGCGAGGCGCATCCAGCGGTGGCGACGAGGGCCTCCCAGGAGGCCCAAGAAGGCGACAACGAGGGAGGGGCAGCGATGTGGGCACCCCCTCCTCCTCAGAGAATAGATCCCCCCAGAACGCTGCCCCTGAAGGTCACTCCCTGCGACGGGCCACCCCTGCGCGCAGCCGGGGCTGGACGGCGGCAGCTCCTCGACCATCTGGGTGATCCAGCGGGCGCGCGGCTGCCGCACCCAGTGCTCGGCCGTCCTCGCCGCGCGCGCGGCCTGCTCCGCGAGCAGGGCCCGGAGGTCCTCCTGCGGGAGGGAGGCCGGCCAGAGCCTGGAGGCCAGGGAGGGCCCAGAGACAGGCCAGATTGGCGAGGCCACGGCCTCGCCCGCCCGGTCTGAGCTAGGCCCAGGCTCTGTCCGCAGCGGTGGTCTGGTCGCATCGCATCGCATCGCATCGCAGCCTCCGGGAAGGAAGGGGAGGGGTACGGTCGACCGGGAGGGGAAGCCAGTACTCCACCTCATACACCGCCCCTCCTCCACCTGTTCGTCCTCCTCCCCCTCCTCCTCCTCCTCCTCCTCCTCCTCCTCCTCCTCCTCCTCCTCCTCCTCCTCCTCCTCCTCCTCCTCCTCCTCCTCCTCCTCCTCCTTCTCCTCCTCCTCCTCCTCACCCGCCTCCTCACTGGCCTCGTCCATCACCAGCGGGAGGGGGAGAAGGGGAGGTACGAACCAGGACGAGGACGAGGACGATGAGGACGAGGCCGAAGATGAGGACGAGGGGGAGGACGAGACCGAGGACGAAGACGAGGAGGACGAGGGGGGGCACGGGCAACGACGACACCGAGGACGACAGTTCAATCCAGGCGTTTTTCCTCCATTGCCAGCGAGGCCCGCTGTCGGGCCCCAGGGCACTCGAGAACAAGTCCAGGGCGAGAAACCCCCCCCAGGCAGGGGGTCGGGACCTCTGCGGCCGCGCGCTGAACCGACAAAAATCAGATCGTCGGACGCCTGGGGCGACCGAAGCGGCACGAGGAGGAGAGGCGAGGGCGAGGGCGGCGGTCCTCGTCCTCGCCCGTGAACGTAGGATGTTTGGAGGCACGCGCGGTTTCCTTGGGTCGGCGCCAGGCCCCGCGCCATCCCGCGCGCAGAGCGCTGGGGGGCGGCGCCCGAGGCGCCGCCTTACGGGGGGGGGTGCAACGCCGACCCAAAAGTTCCGCGCGGGCCTCCAAAAGACTTCATGTTTGTGCCGGTTCCTCGTCTACGAGAAGCAAAGACATGTGTTCGTCGGCGGTGAGGCAGAGTTGGCTGCACCAGCGATAGAGCTAGACTGGGGCACCGAAAAGCGAATTGGCCAGCATGCAAGAGTGGGAAGAAGGCAGAGCGGGCGGCCGCGGGGGGGGAGAAGAACAGGCCACTCAGAGGTGGAAGAGTTCTCACCTGAGTGTGCTGGCGCGGCCGCGAGAAACCCAGACATCCGACGCTGTTATTGTTCCAATGCGCAGCCCCCGAGGTACCGACCGCTTCGCCGAGGATAGTCTCGTCCTGGACCTGTCTGGGGTTGTCCAGGGACCCGATGACGAGCCCCAGGGGCCGAGATCGAGGAGGAACGCCAATGGTGAGGAGATCATGCTGCCGGAGATCTGGGAGCGGGGACAAGAAAAAAGAGGACGATCCTCAGTGTCCACCCTGCGCACCTCGCTCGCGGGGGTGTTGCGGAACTCGAAGAAGACCTCGCCGACGCCCTCGCCGCGGGCCTCCCTCAGCCGCAGCACCGGATGCGCGAGGTGGCCCTCTGTGGCCCGCTCCCCCGCGGCCGCGGATGTGGACGCCTGAAAATGGAGGGAGGGGAAAACACTGCACACAAAGACGAGAGCAGCGCCCATGCATGGTACCATGCCTGCACTCCCTTCGGGCCCCGCTGCAACGCGGTACTGTGCACAGTTCGTCTGGCTACAGTATGCAACACACCGGCCTTGGGTCGAGGATCGATGACGCCTCGGGAGAAGCCTACGCGGTCAGCATAGTGCACACAACTCGGCTATGGAACAGACATCGATTTTCGGAGGTCAGCGCGGATTTCTTGCATCGGCGCCAGACCCCCCTCCCCTGGCGGCGCCAGGGCTGGCGCCAGGGCTGGCGCTGGAGGCGCCACGGGATCGGTGAGTACGCGCCTTCCTGGGCACCCCCAGAAAGCTTTCGGCGAGGCGCAGCTATTGGAGAGCACCCCGAGGCTGGAAAATTGCTGACAACCTGCGAAAACGCCCGAGAGCCTGCAGTCTCGAGCCCGAACCTTTCCCCACCCCCAGCGCTGCCCCGGGAGCAGAGCCCCCCTTTACGTTGCCCCTGCGTGGCACCCCCTCTCCCAAAGGTCTGAGAGAGCGTGATCCACCGCCGCTTTTCTGTGGAAAATTGCCAACCTTTTCCTCCGGAACCCGGGGGTCGCCCCCCCCCCCTCCGAAAATCCCCCCCCCCTGCTGGAACCTCCCCCCCCCCCTCCTCCCCCGGCAAACCCCCCCCCCCTAACCCCCCCCCCCCCCCCTCCCCCTCGAAAACCGGGGGGGGTCACTACGGTTCGAACCCCCCCCCCCCCCTCCGGATCCGGAAAACCGGGGGGGGTCACTACCGGTTCGAACCCCCCGAAAACCGAGGGGGATCACTACCGGTTCGAACCCCTCCCCACCCCCCCACTCACCGCCAGCAAACGACTCCCGGTCCCTACCACCGTCCGCATCACATCCCCCACTGTTGTTCCCAGCACCACTGTCCTCACCACCAGTCCCCACTGTGTCCCCACCAGTGCCCCCACCGCTGTCGCACTGTCCCCACTGTCCCCACCACTGTTCCCACCACGGTTCCACTCTCCCCACTGTCTCCACGGCCCCAACCACTGCCCGACTATCCCCACTGTCCCCACTGTCCCACTGACCCCGCCGCTGTCCCACTGAGCTGTCCCACTGTTCCCACCACTGTCCCCACTGTCCCCACCACTGTCCCCACTGTACCTCTGTCCCATTGTCCCACCGCCGTCCTCGCCACCGCCTTCACCACTGTCCCCACCACCATATTGTACCCTCCACTGTCCCACTGTGTCCACCTCATTCCCACTGTCCCCACCACTACCGGCCCTCTACTGTCCCACTGTCCCACTGTCCCCACCACTGTCCCGCTGTCCCCTCACCACTGTTCCCACCAACACCGTCCCCACCACTGTCCGCACCCCCACTCGGTTTTCGAGGGGGGGGGGGGTTCGAACCGGTAGTGACCCCCCCCCCTTTTCATGATGAACTGGGGGGGGGGAGGGGTTCGAACCGGTAGTGACCCCCCCCGGTTTTCCGGGGGGGGGGGGAGGGGTTCGAACCGGTAGTGACCCCCCCTGGTTTTCCGCCAGCAGCGGTAGAACACGCTCTTTCAAAGGTCTGGACCCCTTCCCCGGCACTGGGCCTTCGTCCCGACTCGTCCTTTGACGGCCTCGGGGCCCGCTGGGGGCCCCCGGAGACCGACAAGCGCGGTAAAAACCTCCCCGTCGTGACTTCACGGCGCGAGGGGAGAGCATGCTGCGCATGGACTGAGTGCAATGAAAAACAATTGCAGTGGATCCGTGAGTGGATCAGTCCACAGATTGATGAGGCCATGATGCCTACTTTGACTTTGAGCCGGCTATGATGCCCGCTCGTGCTCACCCCGCCCCGTCTTCAGGGACTTCACGGCGCGAGAGGGTCTGGGCCTCTCGGCCCTCCTCCCGCAGCGGCCCGGACCCCCGCGGCCGCGCGCCCCCGCGCGGCCTCTGGCGCGCCCGGCCCCGGCGCCGCCGCGGGCGCCGTCGCCTTCGGGCTGCGGGCCGTGGGCTCGGCGAGCGCCTCGGCCGCTGCGGCGGTGCGCGGCCGCACGCGCCGGTCCCCAGGCTGCGGCGCCTCCGCGGGCTCCGCGGGCGCCCGCTGCGCCATCGCTGGCGGGGGGCGAGCGGCGCGCTGGGGCCGGCGGCGCGGCTTGGGCCGGAAGGGGCCCCGAGACCGGCGCGTCGCAGCGCTGTCACGCTGGCCCTGTTCCAGAGAGAGGGTAGCAGATGGGTATACCGCAGCAGCGTGTTTTGGCCCAAGGAGGCCACGCCAGCGAGCTCACCCCTGGGCCAGGCACGTCCCAGGCGGGCCGAGCATCCGTGCCACGGTGCACCGACTTGCACCATCAGTGAGAGAATACGTCATCTAACTCGGGAGCGGCCAAGAGGGGGGCGTCCAAGAGGGAGGCGTGCAAATCATGGCCGGCGGCATGTGCGCGGCCCAGGGGGGGGAAGGGACGTAATGAAATAAGAAGAGGCGCCATGGAATCTGGGGAAATATCATGGCCCACGCCATGATATCCACCCCCCCTAACTAGTCATCACCCCCCTCTTTGCCGCCAACGACTAACCCTTGGAACAACTCATCGACCCACCCGGTAGTTGATGTCCACCCGGGCTGTCGCTCAGCCTCGGGCCCCAGGGCCCTCACAGACCGAACGGGCTCGAGAAAGGCCGCAAGCAGAGGGGTCTGGCTGCAGAAAGATGCGGCCCGGGCCAGAAGTCGGGCAGGGGCCAAAATGGATCGCGGATCCGTACAGAGCCGGCGCGTGGGCGTCGGATCCGTGGATCTGAGAGAAGAGCCCCCGAAGCACGGCGCCAATGCTGCGTGGTCTGGCGACGGGCCGCGTCGACTCTGCAGCGGAATGGGACCGGTCGCTAATCCACGAGCCTGCGTCTGTGTTTGCGCTCCCCCGAAGGAGGAGAGAGGGAAAGACGCCCACTTCCGCTCCCGGGTGAAGCAGCATGCACGACGGGAGGGTTCTGGCCATTGCCGGCCCGCGGGGGGCCTCTCTGGGCCCCGGGACTGTCAAAAAAAGACTCGAGGTGAAAAGCCAGTTCGGTTCCTCACACCGCGGCGATCCGTTCAGCTTTGAATGAGCGGCCGCTTCCGAAACGTCAGATCGTTCAACGTCGGCCGATTCTGGGTCGCCAGCGGCGTTCAACGTTGAATAGCAGCGGCGGGGTCGCCGCCAGTCGACACGACGCGAACCTACCGTAGACCTCTGGGATCCGCGTTGTGAAAAAAACACGACGTCCGAGAGCTGCGGAGCGTCGAACACGTCTCGGAGGACGGCACTGCTAGAAGTGAGGCGACAGGGCCGTAGCCGTCAGATGGCGATGAAGATGTCAGGTAACAAGATGAGAAAGAGCGTGTTCTACCGCTGCTGGCGGAAAACCGGGGGGGGTCACTACCGGTTCGAACCCCTCCCCCACCCCCCCCCCTCCGGAAAACCGGGGGGGTCACTACCGGTTCGAACCCCCCCCCCCCCCCCCTGCTCATCATGAAAAGGGGGGGGGGGGTCACTACCGGTTCGAACCCCCCCCCCCCCCCCCTCCGGATCCGGAAAACCGGGGGGGGTCACTACCGGTTCGAACCCCCCCCCCCCTCGAAAACCGAGTGGGGGTGCGGACAGTGGTGGGGACGGTGTTGGTGGGGACAGTGGTGAGGGGATAGCGGGACAGTGGTGGGGACAGTGGGACAGTGGGACAGTGGTGGGGACGGTAGTGGTGGGGACAGTGGTGGGGACAATGGTGGGAACAGGGGGGACAGTGGACAGTGGTGGTGACGGTGGTGGTGGGGACAGTGGTGTGGGGACAATGGGAATGAGGTGGAAACAGTGGGACAGTGGAGGGTACAATGGTGGTGGGGACAGTGGTGAAGGCGGTGGCGAGGACGGCGGTGGGACAATGGGACAGAGGTACAGTGGGGACAGTGGTGGGGACAGTGGGGACAGTGGTGGGAACAGTGGGACAGCTCAGTGGGACAGCGGAGGAGTCAGTGGGACAGTGGGGACAGTGGGGATAGTCGGGCAGTGGTTGGGGCCGTGGAGACAGTGGGGAGAGTGGAACCGTGGTGGGAACAGTTCTGGGGACAGCGGGGACAGTGCGACAGTGGTGGGGCCACTGGTGGGGACAGTAGGGGCGGTGGTGGAACCAGTGGGGACAGCGGTGGTGAGGACAGTGGTGCTGGGAACACCAGTGGGGGATGTGATGCGGACGATGGTGGGGACCGGGAGTCGTTTGCTGGCGGTGAGTAGGGGGGGGGGGGGGGGGGGTTTCGAACCGGTAGTGACCCCCCCCGGTTTTCCGGATCCGGAGGGGGGGGGGGGGGGGGAGGGGTTCGAACCGGTAGTGACCCCCCCCGGTTTTCGAGCGGGAGAGGGGGGAGGGGGGGAGGGGTTAGGGGAGGGGGGGTTTTTTGCCGGGGAGGGGGGGGGGCCCAGCCGGAGGGGGGGGGGGGGGGGGCGACCCCCGGGTTCCAGAGGAAAAGGTTGGCAATTTTCCACAGTAAAGCGGCGGTGGATCACGCTCTCTCCAAGATGATGGTCAGATGACATGCGTAAAGGCTCCTCCGCCTCGCTCTGACATGCGATGGGGTCTGTTCCCCAATAGCGATGGCATCACTCGAAACTCAATGCTCGTCCGAGCTCTGGGGTGGAGGGGAAGAAAAGGAAAAAGGAAAGGAGGGGGAGAGAGGGAGCAAGGCGCAAGGCCGCCTGTGGCGACGGCACGACCGAACACCGACCGAACCGACAGCGAAACCAGAGCTGATCGAAACCGACCGGTCGCAAGCAGCCCAAAAGGTGGCGGCGCGCACAAGTGGGTATGGGGAGGGGGGAAGGCGTGTTAGGAGGCTGGTTCTTAAAGGCGCTGGCCCTACATCTGCAGACAGGGCCAGCGCCCTCTAAGAAGCAGCCTCCTTCTGAGAAGCCTTCCCCCCTCCCCCTACCCCCTTCTGCGCGCGGCCGACTAAAGGGGCACGGAAACGTAGCGCCGACCGAACCAAACCGACCCAGCGCAACCGACTGGGACGCAGCCGAAGCGACGGAACCGCGGACACCCTCGAGGAGAGCGACCCTTCTCCTCCATCGAGATCCTCGCCTCCTCGGTCCTCCTCGTCCTCCTCCTCCTCCTCCTCCTCCTCCTCCTCGTCCTCCTCCTCCTCCTCCTCCTCCTCCTCCTCCTCCTCGAGGTCCCCGATCGATCGAGACCCTCGAGGAGGCTCGATGAGGAGCAGGAGACGAGCGCACCCGAGGAGGCAGAGATAAAGAGAGAGGGGGGGAGAAAGGGAGGGAGCCAGCGGGTGCAGCCCCAGGAGCAGGACGCCAGAAGTCCCTTCGGGGGGGGGCGACCCGAATCTCCGACGACGTGCGTTCTTATAAGTCCAGTGCTTCTCTTGGATCTCGGCCTCCGGGGGCCTGTTCTGCTTCGGGGTCCCCGCCAAATGTTCCAGGGCTGGTCTGCCAGTGGTCTGCGCTGGTCGGAAGAAGCGAAAGGGAGTCTCTGCGGCAGGTGGGCTGACCGCAGCCTGTTGCATCACGCGCGCGTCTTGCTGCGCGAAGGTTCACATTTACCGAGAACCCTCTGAACGTAGAATTCCAGGGGCATCCCAGGGGGGCTTGGCATCATCAGGCGGCAGCACCGTTTGTCTAACCATCGCTTACCTTGCGATGCGGAGAGGGCTTGGAGCAGGAATGTGTGACACGACTACCTGCAGGTCCCTGACACCCCGAAAGACCACTTCATTACACATTGCGAACATGGAGAGTTGCCTGACTGAGACAGTACGGCCAGGAGGGCGCCTATCTCCTTCATGGTTTCGAAGTACTGAGTGATCAGCAGCAGCTCCGATACCCTCCCGATCCGATAGGGTGCTCCCTGCGTCTCTCTCTCTCTCTCTCTCTCTCTCTATCTCTTTACCAACACACCCGATATCATCCTATCCATCCTTACCATGCTTTCCTTCTATCTCGCACGCACCCGACGCTTTCGGCTGAAGCCGTTTCGGGGAAGATCAGGCCCCACAGAGTGCTCACAGGCCTCGATCTTGACTCCTCCCCACACTGCGGGGACCCAGTGGCAGCGAAACTCTCGTGAGATTGGAAAAGTTGCGCATTCGGAGGACTCTCTCAGAACTCTAGTTGCGCGGGCCTTCGACATAGGCGGCGACGGGAACTTCGAGGTTTACGCGCTCTCAGAGTGCACGTGCATCCATATACATATCTTTCATACCCCGAGCTGAGTGTCGAGTGCTTCCAGACCGCCCTCTCAACTGACCGTCCATGTCATTTACAGTGTCCTCAGCGCTTCAACAACCTGTTTTGGCGAGGCTTATCGGACTCTACGTATCCTACAGACCTGAACGATGGCTTTCTCAGATCGTGCAGGCATCGACTGCTTCCTACAACCTGATGGGTCCCGTACTCTGGAACTTGGAGGAGGCATGGAGGAAGTTCCAGGCCGACGCCACCAGACGAGAGCAGCAGACCTATGAATGGAGCCCTGCGAGGCTCAGTGTCCGCGAGGTGTACCGACGGGCGGCGGAGTCCGAGGACGGCAGCTCCACTCCAGACTCAGACGCCAAGCAATGCCCTTCCTGAAGATGACCTTGGCCAAGAGCTCGGGTCACACCCAGGGAGGGGCAAATGCCCTACTACGTTCCTGGCTGTGGGCTCGTCGGCACCCCCGTCATCTCCGCGCCTGTCTCATACCGTTCCGCTCCGTTGTGTGCCAACTCGTGGGCTCCAAGCCCTCAGGACTCCGTGTACTTAGAGGAGTGGCTCTCTGGAGCACCATTAGAGTGGTCCTCATCATGTCGGGAGTGAGCCACCTCCGACATGAGCTGCTCCAGCTCAGACCAGCACGCTGGGCACGACGTGTCTTCCTCGTGCTACCTCCTGAGTGGCGGCGAGGTGTGTTCGATTGGGATGAGAGTATTGTCAAGATTTCGATGCTGAGACTGCTGGGCCATGATTTGAGCCCACACCAAGCGGTCGTCTACATCTTGGGGTCCTACGCCACACAGTATGTTGGGAAAGTATGTCTCAGATCGGTGGCCCTTCCAGGACTGCTTGGAAGAGTTCAAGGACACATCTGAACATGCAT